GCTGTACAGTATATTAACAAATGGCTTTTGGGGAAAGCTTCTCGTTAAAACGCCGGACTATTTACCATACCCTTCAGAACCGCGGGGATTGGTATGGACGACACAACCTGTTGCGCAAAACGTGGAATTTGCAAGTTGAGTTTTAATTATGTTATATGTAACGATTCAATAGAATTTTGATAACATCTTCTGTACAAGCAACCACACTGTAATATGTTATTCATAAATTTGTAAGTTAAAAATTTTCAAGCAAAACTTTATTAACAAATTGACACAATTACATTGTTGGTTTTATAATTTACAGGTCGTATGCATATATATAATAATTATAAACATACCCCTGCATTATACAAGGAATACTAAACCTAGTTTTTATTAACGTTAACACCAATATATTGCTAGCGAAAGAATTTCTAGTGACAATTAATATGAACAATATGTTACAGTCACTAATTCATCAATTCATCCTGATCAAGCATATTTGTCAATCTAACAATAAAGCACTATTTTTAATATCACTTTACTTATCGGGTTAGAACAAAAAAAATTAATATTACTTTATAACGTTATACTATTACAATATAAAACAATAGAATAAATAAAATAAAATAAAATAAAGTAAAGTAAAAAAAATAAAATAATCGCATTATCTTTTACCCAAATAGAAACTCATTGAACTGCTCCATGCTACGTGTATGCAAGTAGCTTTTTCTGCGCGTTTGAAAAACCAATGAGAAGTATTCGCCTTTTCTTATCCGATTCGGCGTCCCAAATAACAGGCGCAGTAGTTACACGTTCATTTACAATTTTCTTTGTTACAGTCAGGAGTTTGTTCTATAGAACAATTGTATCTCATTTCTTTGTGGCTGCGTTATCATTGCCGAACATACGTAAAAAAATAGAAAAGGTTATTGTTATTACAGTATATATATTTTGTTCTTTATTAATTACGCAATGATAGGGTGCGTAATTCGTGCTACATCACGCGCCATCTTGTAGCCTAGTTTTTTTTTGCACAAATAAAAATCGTCTAACAATCTATTTCGAACATTTATAAAGCATCACGTCACCTTTGACAAGAAAATGTTCTCAATAGACGATACTAAAATAGTTGTACATTCAGTAATCTTAGATGTGAAGACAATCGTACAGAAAAGTCGGTGACGACAACCAGCATTATTATTGTAGCAATTAACAATTAAGACTCAACAATAAGAAGGCTTTCCTTGTATAATCAACTATAGGCTGCACAAGTTAACTCAACGTTAGAACTGTGTTTCGATAAGTATGTTAGTATCCTACCTAACTCTCTTATATTGCGTCATTCTCACAAATTCGACTTTATTGAGTATCATAATTCATTTTATCACGGAGCCATTTACTTGCCCGACAGTCATTTGCCCGGCCCCGACAGTTCATTTGCCCGACAAATATTTACGAGCATTATTTCAAAGTTATCCTTTTGGGGGTAGTTTATTGTCGGGCAAACATTTGTCGGGCAAATGATTGTCGGGCAAATGATTGTCGGGAAAGGGTAAACGAACCGGACCCATCTTGGAATTCGCTATATAGTTCCATAATTATCACATATCCAGAAAACGTTTTCTTCAACTACTCAAGCTATTTGTTATTACATAGCATTAGACTGCAAACTTTACCTGTTGTTCGAGAGTGACAAGCTCGTTATTGATTAATTCGATCATTACATCGTCAGAGACAAACGCTAATCATTAATTTTTATGTTAATTAGTTACAAATGCACAATTACCTTTTCCCTCAGGGTTTTCTGGCGTAGCGAAAATACTCTTCTTGTTGATCGGCGGTTGCACTAACGTTATCTGGACTAAAACGTATGGCAAAATGAACAGATGCAACTTCTATTTAGCAAGTCAAATTTCGTAATTTTTGTAAAGAGCAGTTTGGGAAGACAGCTGTTAGGAGGACGAATAAATGGCTTGAGCAAAGTCATAAAGAGCGTAAACGTCTATTTCATTATAATAATTGTTGATTACTTTTATACAGTTCTCTTGTCAGTCCGCTTAATAAATGACTTCATTCAGAGGATAACTTAGTCATTTCGTAGATGACCATTTACCCTAATAATGATTGAATACTAACAATTTTATTTCATAGTATTCATTCACCGAGCATGCAAATAACTTTCACGATGGTCAATTCGTTGAAATCGTTTGCTGGTGGGACGCTTTCAGCGGCAATTCATTTGCAACAATTTGATTCAATGCCGACATATAAGCAATCAAACAGTCATTTACCGGTGGCAGCCGGTAACTATAGTGATCAAGCATCTCTTAGTCCTTTCTTTGTCCCTTTAGAAAACGGCGCTTCATAATGGGTATCCATTTGTTCAGGCACTGTGGTGTAAATTTGATTACGCCATTGTACGCCACACATGGTGGCCTCTCGCATGGTGTCGTACCTATTGGTTAACTTGCAATCACAGGTATTAGTTTTGCGGATGACAGAACGTACATGATTTAAATGAATAATACGTTATCTAATGACGAAAACTTCAGATAAATATATGGGTTATATAGGTGAATTCTCCAGGTACTATTAATGTGCGCCTCTTTTAAAATGTCGATCACGAATTTTCCATTGTGGCATTGCATAAGTTGTGTAACAATAATGTGTAAGTTGAATGGACGCGAGTGCATGGCGGCTAACGCACAATCTCATGTCTTTGCAAGAAGACAGTCAGCTTTAATGCAGGAACGCCCTTTAGTGTTTAACCATAGGTCTTATGATAAAGAAATGCAAACTTTATTGCGAGGAGACAACGAGTTTGGGAACCCACTATTATATATTAACTAAAGAAAACATATCGAGGCTACATTGGAATTGTCATATTAATTGTTTTTTTATAAAATAATCCCTGACGCTTACAATTACCTATTATACGTTTGGAGCCCTGGCAAAAACAATTCTTACTGGTGTTGGAAAACCTGGTTGCTATTTAAAACGTTACTCGACTAAAATTTCAAACTGTCCTGGTAACGGAAGAAGGGTATTAATGTTACTAAAGTTTTCACAGTATAAAAATTATGATGACTAATAATTTGCTTTCTCGGTATTGCTCCTCAAAGTTGCCTCGGCTTGCTCAACTCCATTTGTGCATAACTTTTGAGCGTCACGTATCATATGTATAAAGTTACCATAATGTTTCGAATAACAACACTTCCAAAAAACATGCCAAATATTGACAAATATACAAATTCATTGATTGGTTCACTGTTTTCAGAAGGTTATGAATATTATATACAATTAATTGGTTTGCAATATATCAACAAATTTGTATGTAAAAGATCGGATGCTCCGGTTTAATTCCTATGCGTGATTTATGATCACGGGTTGCACTGCGTGTATACAATCACTTACCCTGTTTTCAATTATATTGTACAATTATTCAATTTTTTCCTAATACCGGATTGTTTAGAAAAGCAAGCCAAACTATAACTTAAATATTTACTTATTGTTCCAATACGATTGTTGCTACCTTTACGCCTCTGTGTTGCTTCCCAGTTTTGGAAAAACGTGTCAAATAGTATATAACATTATATACGCTTAATTATTAAACAATATCCGGCAATTTTGCCATTTTTCTATTCATATAATTAAAACTATACGCATATAATATAAATATTAAACTTAATTTTTTTTACATGCAACAACGCAACTATCATACTGCGTTCCTAAACTTTGTTAAACAAACGGGAAAAAAAAGTATTTTTAGTTAGTGCCTGAAATAAGTTTTTCCAACAAAGCATCGAATAATTATAAGACGTTTGAAAAATTTTCCTTTTTTAAATTTGGTTGTCTGTTCTATTAGTATTAGCACATTTATAAAATTATTTATATTAATTAAGTTTTCAACATTGCAACATTGCCTATATTTTGACAGAGTAATTTCTAATCTATAAATTAAGTGTTTGATAGTGCTATTAAGTATTATGTTGTTACACAATAATAATGTAGTTTTGTCAAATTTATTTATATTGTATTTATTTAAAAAATATTGCTTTTCTTCATTACAGTGGTTGTGTACGTTAATTGAATAATCTTCTTTTTTTTTTGCAAAAGTCCGATGCGCTATGTACATCTCGTAACAGTATTAATGATTGTTTCATGCAAAATATATTTAGAATTACAGTCGTACCCCTTTATAGTCACCCTCTCTATAAGCATATCGTATAAAAACCTCTTTATTAGCACACCATGTTTGAGAACCAATTACTATAAAACTTATAGGAATAACCTCTGTACAGTCACAACCTCTTTATAAGCACATTTTCAACAAAAGTTGCACTGTTCCCGACTGTGTGATTATGGGGGGTACGACTGTACTTCAAAGGTGATGTGTTACAGATTCAAACGCCTTTCCAAACAGTGGATCGTTCCATTAATGCATTGAGCAGTTGTTAAAACTTGCTTATGTTATTCGAAAAACTCTACATTTGTATTTGCCGCTACTTGTATTTATTCAACTTGCAGCAATATGGGTCGATTGTTTCTTCTAATACGCGCAAGCCAATGCGATGAGATGCATAACGCACAACAGCTTACGTATCAGTGGTGTATTTCAAGAAAAAATATGCCTGCCTATAGTTACAATAATATGTCTTGCACGTATATGTGTTTTGTATCGATAGAGGGGTTGTTTCGAAGCGTAATTCTGACGACACAACTTGCATTAAATATAAAAAAGAGCGCTCAACAAACTAATTATATGTGAATGAAAATTGTTGTGAAACAAATAAATCAACCCCATTTATATAAATAACCATTATCGATGACTTAATTATACATACTTTCTCGGAAGACTTGCATATCCTCGAGTTCATACGTTCGTCTACTACGATCGGTTAACGCAATCTATTTATATTCCCAGATATCACATCCTGATCGCACTTTGTGTGTAACTCTATTTCCATGTAATGTTTATATATAATGGCAATCTCCGCCAAGCTCACCATCTAACAGCCATGTCAACGTTGATCAAACAACGTACACGCAAGTCGAAGACTACACCTGCGAATTTTGATTTTACCGGGAAGAACGCAGTCATGGTTGTTGATAAAAAGTCAACTAGAACAAAAAGATCGGCGAAAAAAGACTGTTCGAAGTGCAAAAGAATGCTGCCGATAACGGACCGTTTGGAAAATTCTATTGACATTTTGGAAAGTCTGTCAGAAGAGTTAATCCGCACCGAAGACTGCATTAAAAACGACATGCGTTTTGTTGCAAAGGATGGTATTAATCAAGAAAAATTAGCGGCTATGGTAAGATTTACTTATCTGTTGTGATAAAAACTTTAAAATATCAAGACAACTAATATGCGTTTTATATCAGTCGACTAGTGAGTTATCTAATTATGCCAGATTTATCGCCCTCCAACTGCAACTGCAAACTGTGCCGTCATAAGTAAATATGCTGGTGGCATATAAATTTATTTATGTCTTTAATAAGATAGATATCTATGTAAAATAAGTTAAATATGTTTCTCACGTAATGAATTATCGCTAAGAGTAATAAAATAATCAATAATTATTATTCACACTGACAATATTTTTGTGGTAACAAGGAGTCGTGGTAAGGATCCATGGAGAAAGCTATCATTTGTTATATCTATTCCTTATTTCGACATTATTCATTGTATGAACAAAAATAACCCATGATTTTGATTTAAATCGGAAAAGACTCACTCACTGCCGATGGAGAACACTTTGTTGTTGTACTTCAGTTCTTTTTAAGTAAGTTTTTGAATAAGACTTGTTACAGACATATTATAGAATATTATTTTCCAAAGATTCTATCACATGTGAGTATTATTATAAAAAAGCACTAATATGAAAACGTCTATACTGAGAACGAAATAAAGAAGCTTTGTTTATAGTAAGGGGTGGGAAGGTCCCGTCCGCAGCAAATTCAGCGCCTCAGTTGATTTGTAATATTGGTGCTGCAAGTTTAATAGCTTGGCAATAAAACTTATACACCACATCATCATTTGTTTATTGCCTTGTTTCAAACAGCGTTATTAAGAGAATTACTAATTAAGCTGACAAATTTGGGTGCGATTTATTTGTATGTTAGCAATGCATTAGCAGAAAAGTCTCCTGTGAATGAGGAGGAAAGAATCTGGCACGGCCGTTTTTTAATTGAGTGTGTGAAGAGAGAATGTTAACAGTTTCTGCAGCAGAGTAAAGTTTACCCACACCGACAAAAACTACCAAAAAGAATAACTTCGGTGAAATTTTGTCGGTGACATGAATGCCTCCCACAAATTCGATAAGTCGAGCCTCCTTACGGCATACATGCCAGACCGTTGTAAACAAAATCTTATACTTGGCCGTTTGGTGCAGAAATTGATCCGTTATAAAGCGTTTATGCAGGTCCGACACAAGCAGGGTTGACTACTCTCCAGTGCGTCTTTGGGAGTTGAGACTGTTTATACTGCGCATCTACTTTGTCTATGTATTATGCCTAATGTCAAGATCCTAATACATCACGACTAGCATTCCAGCTAAAAAGAAGATACTCACAGACTTATTGTAAAGAAAATTTCTATTTGCAAAACACGACAATGCACAATTATATTAATGGAGCTTAACTCGCAATGGTTTTAATACTCAATACAGTGACACCCTATAAGTGCAACCTCCATAAGTGCAAAACCTCCCTAAATGCAAGCTTTTTCTCGGTCCCAAGCATGGGACCTAGTAACTAAATGCAACCTCTATTTTCTGCAATTGCAATAGATTTGCGAGTCCCGTCTATATGGATATCTCTCTCTAAATGCAAATCACGTGGTTTATCCGTATATGCCGTGTAACAATTAACACAATGTTAGAATTACATATCATGAGTGAATTGTTTTCAGGTCGTGTTTCATTCTACAAGAATAATAAGTTTGAAATCAACAATTATATTTCCGCAACATAGTATTGTTTATAGTATATTCACTTCTTTTGTCTCAGCTCACAATAACTCTGTAAATATTGTCAGATTGTAAATTCAATGAAACAAAGCAGCTTAACGCAATTTTTAGCTAATAATAATTAATAAACAACATTTAAGGTAAATTGAAAATCTTTCCTTTAAAGGAAACTTCTATATTGAATTTGCAAACAATTACCTGACAAGCAACTTGCATTTGTATATTAATATGCAATTTTGTTAGAAATCAGAGTGTTTGAAAAAAATAGGACACTACTGAATACAATAAAAGCAGATGCAGAAGTATAATAGTCAAAACTCATGTGAAGAAGATTTACTAATAAAACATCTGCTGTGACAGAGAGATCTGGAAAATAGCAGAGCTGCTGTATATGCTGACAGCCATGTAATAGTAATTTTAAGGAAAAACTTGACTATATCTAATAACGAGACTTACTATATAACTTTATTATATCAAGGGAAATTTTAATAATGGTTTGTATCGGAGGAATTCTTGATTATAATGCGAAATTTACTGTATCGAAACTTTACTATATCGAGGTTTGACTGTAACTACTTTAACAACAAACGCGAAAGCTTACATCCACGTATTTAGTATTGTAACATACCCACAGGGATTAATTTTCGATTGACTAAGATCACGTTTAAGTTTATTTCTCATCTTTTCTCATCCGAATTGAAAGAAAATTTGAACATATATATTTCAAAACATTCTAAACACATTTTGTTAGCGCCGTATTTGAGATTAACGTAACTGATTCGACTTTACAAATGATCGAAAGTAGAAGATAAAATCGGCGAAACTGTTAGATTTCAATCATTTGGTTAACAGAGACAATAAACACAAGTTATAAAACCACAAATTTTGTGTTACCCGGTTATTTTTTGGAGGGCAGAAATTGACGGTCTGCAAAGCAGATGTGTTATTATAATGAATTTTCAATTCAATTAATTTATTACCTACCGCCAACATAATTTACACCAGTATATGTGATAATAAAATTACAAGTATTTGGTTATATACAAAATATCCAAAAAAGAAAAATAGTAGCAAAAAGCCTGATTCAGATACGAGATGTTCGAAAAATGTCATATAGTTACAATGAAACATAATATTAAATAGTGAGCCTAAAGCCTGAATTACCTATCCCAATGCACAATCCTACCCATCTCCCAGCAATCTAAATTCAACTCCATCAACTTTCACTCTATCCTCTCCATTCCTCTTTCGCGTCGGTTTCTTTTCTTTCTCCCTTTCCTTTTCCTTCTCCTTATCTCTGTCCTTTTCTTTTTCTTCCTTCTCCTCTCCCCCGCGACCGTCCCCATTTCCAACAACAACGCTGTTCTCGCCTACAGATATTGCACCAGATTCAAGCTCAATTGCCACTCGCCGTTTAAGGCGCCTGATTGTACTCCTTTTAAGTCTTATTTTAAACGCCGCTTCGAGCAAAATATCTGGTGTAAGCATTTCAGGCGGAATATGCAGAAGGAAGTCTAGGATTTCTGAACTGGTGGGACATTTCTTAAGAATGTGTTCTCTAGTACAGTCCAAAATTGCTAGACCAACTCGGAAGAAAAGTTTCACGCCTTGTAAATCGTAAAATGTGGTGAATAAAATTTGGTCGAAATACGGCTACTACGTGATGAAAATCAAAGCATGTCTACCTTCGAAATAAAATATATCCCAGACACGTAAGACTGATGCCCATGGAAGCGACATAGTAAACAGAGTCATAAACCATTGCGTTATGTACATTATTGGAAGAACACGATTGTCGCTCTATAAAAGATTCTAACGATCAGACATGCATCTTATTAAACAACTGCTTAAATAGTTAACTCACCAGATGCTGAGCCAATTTAGGGTCATGTTCAACAAGAAGAACGTCGAAAACAAAAGAATCAACTTTCAGCTCCATCAAATCGGGCGTATAATACCCGTTCATATACTCTTCGATAGTAACGACTAGCAACCAAAACGTATCCTCAGCGGGCATCTGCATAAGCATCATCCCGACAAGTCTGCCCATTCCTTGACAATAACCGACTTTTTGATTGTAGTGAGCGTATGCTTTGAGAACATCGTGAAGGTCAGACTGACCAGAGCCTGTACCCTCGCGAAATTGAATATGGTCAGGATAGCAGCGGTGGATATCTCTTTCTATTACGTCATATATTGGAAGCCTGTCTCTCTTGCGGAGGACCTTGAAGGGACGAAAATAACAATTTAGCGCCTCAATGATAGCAACACATTATTTGCTTTCACGACTGGTTTTGTTACACTTACATCATAAACTTTAGGCTTCCTATTTTTGTCAGCGTTAGCCATGAATCGCCATGCTTTACCACGAACTGATTCGGGAATTCCAAGCCTAACTAGCTTCTTAATCCTTCTCGAATCTCGTGCGGTTGATGAATCCATACTTCCCAATACCGCAACCCATTTCGTTTCTCTTTCTCTATATTGTCTAACATTTCTCGTACCTTTATCCTCAGAACCCGGTGCTTGAATACTAGTAGAAGAAAAACATGATGAATACAATAAAGAATTAGCGGCGCAAGAGTAGTAACAGTCAGTATAATAAGAGAACATATTATTGACCTCAATAAAACAAGCCAGAACACGAACAAGATAACTTACATTCTCTTAATAGGATCGACTCCATCGGGAATGTTCTCCAATAAGACATCATGAACGAATCCGTAATTGTCCACAGTCAAAACTTCTTCTTTCTTCTGAATTGTCTTGCCGGAACCATTCGCACTTAGAGAATTATTCGAGTTATCTGTCATATTAGCTAAACTACTCTTTTGCAACTCAGCATTATCGGGAAGCTTCGTACTCGATGTATTTTGATCTTTCTGTACAGGCATAGAGTCTTTTCTCTCTGGACGAGAAACAGAAGCTGCGATCTTGTTGTCGCTCTTGTCTCCTCCATTATTACCACCAGCATTTACTCTTCTATTACCATCTTCTGACTCACTTTTAGTATTATCCAAATCAATCTTAATCTCAGGAAGAACATCTTTCCTAACAGACTCATCTGTTCGCACAACTTGGTCGGTTTTATTCTCATTCGTTTCTTTTTTCATTCCATTAAAGACGTTCTCTGTCTCATTGTCATCGTCAACATGATCAATAATTAAAAGTGGTATCTTCATGTTACTTAATGTTGTTGGTTGGATACTATTAGGTCGGCTGCGATACGCAATAAGAGAACTTTCTATATCGTCTTCACCTTCTTCATCAGTGTCGCCGTCGTCTGCGGACAGGACGATTCGAGACATTCGTTTCGCTGGCGAAGGTGACGGAGAACGTGAGGATGCTGGAGAGCGGGAGGAAGATGGGGAGGGAGGTGGGGATGGAGATCGTAATGGCTGGACTTTGGAAGTGTGTGACGGCAAAGTTGTGACAGATGAAGGTGACGGTTGAGCTTGAGGCTGAGGCTGAGCTGAAGCTGACGACAGCTCGGCTTGCACCTGGGACTGTGTTGATGGCAGAGACATTCCTCTTTGTTGTTCTTCTTGTTCTTCTTCCTCTTGTTCCTCGTCTTCATTTTCTTGCAGTCGCGTCAGTTCATATTTTTGTTGCAGTTGTTGTTTCTGCTGTTGCAGTTGTTGTTTCTGCTGTTGTAGTCGTTGTTTTTGCTGCTGCAGTTGCTGCTGTTGTTGCAATTGTTGCTGTTGCAATTGTTGTTTTGCCTGCTGCAGTTCTTTCTTTTGTTGCAACAGTAGTTGTTGTTGTTGTAACCGCTGCTTCTCTTGCAACCTTTGCTGTTCTTGTTGTTGCTGTAGTTGTTGTTCTTGTAGGAGCTGCTGCTGTTTTTGTTGTTCTTGTTTTTGTTGTAGCTGCTGCTGCTGCTGCTGTTTTTGTAGCTGCTGTTGCTGTAGTTGTTGTTGCTGTAGCTGTTGTTGCTGTAGCTGCTGTTGCTGTAGCTGTTGTTGCTGTAGCCGCTGTTGCTGTTGTAGCTGTTGCTCAAGCTGCTGCTGTTGTAGCTGTTGCTCAAGCTGCTGCTGTTGTAGCTGTTGCTCAAGCTGCTGCTGCTGTAGCTGTTGTTGCTGTTGTTGCTGCCAGGCAAGTTGCTGCTGCAAGTATTGCTGCTGTTGGAAATGCTGTTCTTTGTGAAGATAGGAAGGACGAGATGGTGGGAGTTGTGATGCTTGAGGTGGGCGCATCTGTTGTACATGGCCAAATCGATTTGGAACTTGAACTTGTCTTTGAATTTGTTGCTGCGGAACAGGGTTTGAATGATAATACTGTGGGATCGAATTCGGTTTCCTTTGCATGTAACCTTGTCCTTGGATTGATCCTAACAATTGTTGTTGCACTGTTCTATCTTGATGTATTCCTCCACCGTCGACGAAATGTTTACGGTCATCGAATATCATGTTATTGTTCTCAACTTTGCCTACGGAGTAATAATCATCTCCCAGCGTCGGTGTCGGCGTTGAGGGTGTGGAATTTAAACGTCTAGGTGGAACAATTGTTCCAGAACCTTGCATCTGTGGAGCGGAGTTCTTCCGCCATGGACCGGATTGGTGTTGCTGATTGTGAAGCAAGTGAGAAGAAGGACCGGAATAAGGCATAGAAGCATAATTATTTTCGATAGGGCGAACGCCAGGATGAGGGCTTGTAAAGGGTTGATTAAAATTATATGATCGAACTCCACCAAATGGTAGTTGGCCGTTTTTATTGAGTGCTGGCTCATATCCATTAATCATATCCCGAGTAGCATCTTGGGGCTTGACATTATGGCCTTGTGAATGCCAAGTCGGTGATGAGATTGGACTGCTTTGGAGTGAAGTTGGAGGGGATGTTTGGTATTGTTGTAGTTCTGTTGAAGAAGGCGGGGACCCTGAATTTCCTGATACTGGCGCAGTGTTCTGCCGTCTTGGACCATTAGCATATCCTATAACATTGCTGTTTACGTTCGTACCCACGTTATTCACGACCCCGTTTTCGACAACCATTGGCGTTCTCTGCATCTTGTCTCTATTATTATAACCTTGCTCATGCTGTCTTTCCACTACCCCAATCTGCTCTTTCTCAGTATCCAGTGACAGAGATGGGCCCGTATGGTTAGATATTGGTGATGTTGAAGTTTTCATGACGGGATTAATCACGGGAGATCTTTGTGGAGATGATGGGTGGGAGCCCTGCCGGGAATTTGGGGAGACTGCTAGAGATTGTACTTGGTTGGAATTTTTTGAGTATTGCGTTGGTAATCGTATTATATTGTTGTCTTGCATTTTCTCTGGGCTTCTCCCCATAGTGTACTGCGCCTGTTCCTGCGCTGCTATTACATTAGTATTAAGATCGGTTGTAATTTTAGGAAGAGTAGTTGGTGGTTCTGGGAATCCCAATGGCATTAGTCCTCCCTTATAGATATCATCAAACGTTGGTATAGTCGGCGAATGTACTGGGGTGGTAGAAGTTGATATCGGCGGAAGAAAGTCTGGCGACGTTAATGATGCTGTTAACTGGTTCGGCGTAATATATTGTGATAACATGACTGTTGGAGTTTGTACCGGCGTCGTAGTTACCGATGAAAGGAGGGGCGGTGAAGGCGACTTTATTCTCGCATTACTAGACGTAAGCATGTCGTTATTTACATCTATGATTGATGCGACGGAAACTGATGGGACAATTGTCGAGTTCGAGACAATGACATCGGATGGGTTATTAACAATTTTAGGAGGCGCCGTACTCTTTATCGGGCTAGTGAAAACGACGTTTTTTGCCGAAAAGAGACCGATCACGTCTTCACAATATCCCTAAAAGAAGAGGTCTCGGTTAATTAAAGAGGACAACATACTTCTTGCTCGTTCCTGCTGTACGAATGCTTACCAGAAACCGATCATCTTTGATGTGTTTCAATACGACGACTCTGTCATCTTTAAAGAACATTAAATCATCTTCAGTCTCTGCTTCTGTATCGATCTTGGCAATCGCTACTCCAATGCCACCTGAATACGGGAAACATGAACATTATTAATAAATTCCTTAATTTTACAATGAAAAATTACAATATGTCGATACAATTGAATACTGATCGATTCTCAACGACTTCCGTTATCTATAATTCACTCTTATTTATTATACTCACCTTCTCTCGCGAATGCCTCTAATTTTTGTAATTCTTCTGGTGATTTTATTAGCATTTCTAATAATCAGGAAGATACCACATTATTAACTAGTAGATGAGTTGCTATAGAAACGGCTGTTATAAAAACGCGAATAGTTTGACGCAGGTTAAATATTTGGTTTATGAGCTGCGCGTTTACGAATATTAATAAAGTTGTAGATTGCGATTGCAAGCGTTGTAGAATAAGTATGTGAATAGTAAATAAAAGTCGGATATTAGGGTAACGAGTAAGTTTGATAGTCTATGTGTTATTTAGTCATTCCGGGTGGACTCTTATATTAATTAATACCAATATCCCTTATGGGTATTCTTGGCTGAATCAAGAAGACAAAAACCAAACGAGAATTACCGAATTTTGAATACTTTTGTTGTTTATATTCAGAAAATTATTTTAGAATTCCCCGATTGACTACTTACATATTCAAAGTGACACACGAATATTCCAGGTGACCAAACAGCCGAAATGCCACAAAATATTTCACGGGCGTCAAAAACGGTAAGTTGGACCTACCACAATAATTAATAATAGCTTGCACTTGATTTACATATACAAATTAAAATTGTCTAATTCCGCTCTAGAACGGTTATGTCGTCAAATGCCAAGAGATTCCAAAGTGTTGGGACAGCAAATTAAAAACTGATCAGCTTTTAAGGTAATAAATATAACGAAAATCATTTATATCGACTTTTCATTATTTTCATTTACACTCTTGCTTTTTTTGACAAGCGGCAGGACTGCTTTGTATTGTCTTTCCAAACCCCTATTGCTAATTTAGTATTTAAATTTTGGGGTATATGCAGTGCTGGCGTATTAGTATTTGCTTTTGGGACATAAGTCTAATGCGATGAATACCACTAAATTAATAGAATGCGCTCCACAAATATTAACAGAACAGTAGTTAGCAATAAATTAGATTACTTGTACTACTATAACGGGAATATTAATACGGGGCACCTGACACAGTGAGCAGTATTTGAAGATTGTCGTTTGTTGCCGACCAACTCCATATAGCAATAAGGTGTCTTTTTCATTAGGTACAAGACGGCGGCTTAATTACCCTAAAAATTCGTATGATTTTTCGAAAGAATTAATAGCTCCAAAATTTAATGTTAAATCCATTATGATTAATTTCTTTCTTGTTATTGTTGAAGAACATAGGATCAAATGTTCGGGATAGCTGTTACTACGTTACGGGAAAAAAAAAGATATCCAATATGCCGTCCAACTATGGGTACATTATGCAAGCTCGTTAAGATAATAATAATCCTAATTTTTACTCACCTTTTGTCACTGACACACGCCTTGTTGGATTTATTTTACATATCAGGTCTCAATACAAAATATCGTCGTCGGTATTCACCTGCTACGCTCTTAATAAGTTCTGGGTGCCATCATGTTATAAGAACGCAAGCTACGATCTCTTTAAATAAAAATTCATAAATCCGTAAACCACAATCGAAAGGTTAATTGCATCTTTAATAATGAGATGAGAAATTTAATTCGTCAATAAATATTACTAATGGCAAAATGGTTTTTGGATTAGTATTGTTATGAATCCGTTTATATTTATACATTTTAATATTATGCTGTGCGTGAATGGTATGTAGATGGATAGAAGGACTGGTGAGAAGAACATTTGGTTTCTGAAACAATCCGGAAGTCAATGATAATGGCACAAAATGAACAGAAATAATGAATTGAATAAAGTATTAAGTATCGAATCCGTACCAATAGAGCACGTCAGAAATTTAAAGTTAGTGTTTAGAGCTGCTGTGAAAATCAAATGTCCGAATTATTGCACAAAAGAAGTTTATTACGTGAGAGTAAAATATTTGTTAGAAACAATTTTCATTTAAACGATCTTGTTTGAAGACGACTATTAAAAATGAACTAGCTAATAAATTGAAAACATGTCCTGTAAAATACCAACCTCGCAAATAAGTGTTTCGGTGTCCAAATGCAATTAATTCTGTAACTGTACTAACAAGTTCCAGATTCTAATGTTTGCAGGTTGAGTCGCCCAAAAAAGTTTCCTTATACGCGCTATTACAGTATTATTATTGGAGACTCGGAAACCATCGAGTTACCGTTTTTAAGCAGACAACCATTGCATTAACAGATAGAAAGTTCGTAGAGAGTGCTAAGCATGTATTAATAATATTATATTAAATAAAGTAAAACAGGAGTTACGAATGATGTATGAGAAAGGCGGTTTCCTGGTGTACGGCTTCACCCGAGTATCACAACGTTTCCAAATCTGCGGACGGTCTGTGTCTTATATATCAAAAGCAATTTTTAAATACCAACAACTGACTAGCTTAGACCCAGGCACTAATTAAAGTAGAATATCTGTTCCATTTCAAAGCAAATTATGACAACTGATTCTGATTGGGTTTTGTTTATTTATTGACTATCGAATTATCGTATGTAGAAATAATTGCCCGCAAACCTACGTTGCTTAGACCGTTACAATAACCCCACTACTTACACGTGGTTCATAAATGATGCCTGAAACACAGCATACACGTAACTGCAGCGTGGTGGGTTTTTATTTTCCTCCAGGATCTCAATTTCACATGGTCTGCATAGTTTGATCAAATTTATGCCTTTATCTGCAATGTAATAGGCCCAAGCACACATTGGGATACGACACGCTTACCAAAAATGCTACCTACCCAATTAAATAACAACTCGTCATATTACTCACGATGATTGAAAACCCAACAACTCGGTTCTCCGAAATTGATTCTTGTTTGTCAAAGCGAAAGAGGGAAAATATGGCAAATCTTATTGAATGGTTGTTTGGCGGCACTCGTTCGACTGAGGACATTAGTCAGCCCCCACCAGTCAGCACACCGGCTCATCCTTTTTATCCACAAGATATCAAGGTTTGAACTTTTGCTACATTTGTTGCGCCTGACTTTACTTTTCTAACCCCTAACCTTTTACGCTCAAACTTACCCACGTTTGCCCCACCAACTCTTCCTATCCTTTAACCTTCTCTCAGTTACCAAACTACGTTCCGTCGCCCTATTCCGCCTTCGAAACCTTTTCAATCTTTTTGGGGGCTCTCTCGGTTATTATTTTTCCTTCACTCTACCTAATCCTGAATCGTGCATCGGTCACTCCAAGAAACAGAGCAATTTTTATCTGGTTTGTAGTATGCTCGTGCATTCATCTAGCGTTCGAGGGTTATTTTGCATATTTTCATGCTACTATGTCGGAGGATGATAACATTTTAGCACAGTTATGGAAGGAGTACTCGCTCAGTGATTCGAGGTATCTAACCTCGGATCCACTGGTCGTTTGTATGGAGAGGATCACCACAGTGAGTATTGGGATCATGGCTGGAATTGTTTTTTCTGAAAATTAGAACCGTATATTGGTATTTTGTCTACATCAAAAATATTAACTACTCTCCCAAACATTATTAGATATTCGGTGGCCCACTATGTGTCCTCACTTGTCTCGCTATTTACTTCAATTGGCCTTCTCGTCATGTGCTTCAGCTAACGGTCTCCATCGTTCACCTGTACGGTTGTGTTATCTATTTCTGGACGACCATCTTTCAAGGCTCTCCCCATAGTCGTCCTGAAGCATATTACTACTGGTTCTATTTCATATTCATAAATACCATCTGGGTCATTATTCCGATCATTTTGACAACAGAAAGTTGGAAAGAATTAACTAGGGCGGTGAGTGAGGACTATCGGAGAAAGAGCAAGAAATTACAATGATTAAGAGGGAGGAGAAAGGCCGAATTTATGGAACAAAGGAGAGCGGTATCGCAATGAATCTCGTTACAGAGTTTGTGGTACTTGCAAAGAATATCGGGACTATTGGTATATAGTAATGTTTACTATTCTGCAAATAAAACATCCAAGTTCAAATAAAATCCTTTATTTATTAATAAAGTAATCACGCTTTTGTCTAGCTTCTAAGCGTACGGTTCCAATTCAATGCTCGTCGCATTATTATTATCTATTTGTGATAACCAATCGAGTTTTATCAGGAATCTGTAACTTTACACTTGACAGTGCTTTTATGAGCGGAGTCAGTTGGAAAGGCTCGGTTTCTATATATTAACATTCTACCAAACCTTTTATTCTGTTGTGCATGTCAATTGGGACATGCTGCAACCAAACCAGACAAAGTGAACATTTAATTATGTGACATAAATGAGAGGCTGATTATGATGTGGTTGTAAAATTGACCAGCGTGACTGATGACGTTTTGAAAAGTATTAGCAGTGCTCATTCATAACTTATGACTTATTATACCAGAATTTGAATGCGATGAATATAAACCATAACAGGATTATTAATAATATAGTAATAGTAATAGGATTATCTCTTTATATATATTAATATGAGACTAATTCACATCAAATCCACTATTACTATGGACCCAAGAATTACAGCACCATTAGAAGCATTCTAAAAAAAGCAAGGAGAGAAAATTGCTCCATACTAATACGTTTTCAAAATCAATGTGACAGATTAAAACGAAATCGGATTAAACCGAAATTTTTTCTATTTTAGTATGAAAATTATAAAAATTTTTGGGGGTAATTTTTAGCCTTTTGTTGGGAATTTGGGTTAGAATTTAGGATACCATTTGTTAGTAAAAGAGTATATGTGGGTTTCAAGGCATTAAAAGGAAACCCAAAATACCCCAAAATTTTGTTTTAATCCGATTTCGTTTTAATCCGCCACAATCAATAATACCCAGGAATATCTGTGGATAAATGCTTCTACATTAACTGGAGTCCCAATATTTGTCATGCCTATAACTATGTTAAGTGCTTAGGTTTCTCGAAAGAAATACCTGCTTCTACTGTGTTCACACAATCAAGTTCGCCCCAAGCGGTATTAATGTCTAAAAAGTCTTTTTTTCGTTGTTTCCCATCCATATCTCCATAATAGTCACGAGCTTTGAATGATAATTTGGAAGCTTCTTTTACTAATACTCGAGCCATATTAGAGCTTGTTACAACAATGCCACGCGTTTGACTTGTCTGAGAAATTCAAACCCAATTCGCATAGCTTCAGCCCCACTATCTGGGTCGTAAAGATACCCAACAGTCCTACCTATAAGTGGTTGGAATTTATTTATCAATTACTCGGATATTTCACCACGATAAGCCTTGAGAAATGTTAGTGTACTTTCATTTGCAAATGCATCCATGGCTAAAACGTGTTGAGCTGATCTTAATATTAACACATTACGCATTGCATTTTCAGATTCTCGCTTTTCTGTGAATCCCTCAAAACAAATAAATTTAAAAAAAAAAGTCACTGGAGACCTCAGCTGATTCTTCATCATAATCATTTAAAGAATTATTCCCGTTGTAATAAGATGGAGAAGGAGAGCGATCGCGAAGGTTGGGAGGAGGTGTAACAATAGGGGAAGCTTCTTCAGCTGATCGTGTTTTGGGATTTCCTGTTATTGTCTGAATAATATATTAGTAAAGTAAACAAATGCTTATTATCAACAGTATTTCATACCAATGTAAATGTGTCGTTAACATTTTCGACAGCTGAATGAACGTTTCTAATTGTTGTTGCAAAGGTTTTTTTGGAAACACTTATCAACGAACTAGTAGCTTCAACCTGCAGTCAGTAAAGAAAATAAATTAATATAGTGCCAATCTTTGTTGCAACAAGTAAACTATAACCTCTGCGGTCTGCGATTGATCCTGTAGCTGTCTATTTAGTTCAATTTTATTCCAAAAAGCGTTGACATCGCAAAGAGTATCACGATGGCCCTTACAAATAAAGAATTAATATGATCAGTTAAAGTATGGACTCCAATAGTGTATGGACTCCAATGGTCTATGTATGATCCACGCGAAATTAGCACACTGCGGAAAGCAGTTACAACGGACGTTCCGACCATAAGGTAGACAGCATTCCATTGTCCCCGTAGTTGTAAGGGTTCCATTTTCTAATAGCGGACGTTCCGACCATAAGGTAGACAGCATTCCATTGTCCCCGTAGCTATAAGAACACCCTCTGCTAATCACTTACACAAAGAATAATATAAAAAAGATTACTTCTGAAAAGAGAGGGTAAAGTCCAATTGCTTCGAACAGTATTCATAAAAGCCCAGAAAACAATATTCTTTAGGCTCGGTTTTGTCAAAGTAAGCACACCACTTGCTAGACATTGTTGTATTTATGTACCACAATCACGAGAAACCATTCCAGTTCGTAATTTTCACGTGCGCATAGCGAATCAGAATACTAGAGAAGCGAAAATGTATGATGCTATCAAAGAGGAGAGTACGCGGATCCTAGGTCATTTAATGCATGCTCTCTTAGAAGTTTGTCGCTTAATTTTTATTGCAAGCAAGCCGGATATTGGGAAACAAAATTCATATTTGAGAATGTACTGTATACACATAAAATATGGATCTGTTAAGTAAAAATGGAACTGTAGCAGGATGTTCAAGGGAGCAAAAGTTTCGTTTTTGATACACCGTTTTTATTTTGATAGATCTGCATCTGCAGCAAAGTCACGTTTTCGACAGTCCCCAAAAAATTATCCGATGCACTATACTATGACTATACGTGAACGTCAAATACAAAGTATTCGAACATTTGAAGCGAGGACTAACAGTAATAGTAAGTAAGTAGTTGACAAAGCCAACTCACTTCGGTCTCAAAAAAAAGTCCCGTTCCGATGAGTTGCTGTCATCTGTGTTCTCAAATTCCTAACGGAATTATAACAAAGCTCCTGCATCAATTATTTAGCCTCATAATAATAATCCTGGTCGGCCTTTATCTTGTCCACAATTAATAATCCCATGGTTTCGATGTTATTATCTATTTAGATATAAATAATTAACAGAACTATGGCAAACCTCAAGGAAGAGTTTACGTCTAGAGCTTTGGTATCTATTATGTTTGCATATAATCGTTACGTTCACATATTAATATAGTTCATTATGTGCACATATGGTCATGATAGTCATACACAGTAAAATGACAAGATGAAGTTGGCCTATGATGCATTTCCCGGAGGAATAAAGCATAAATGCCCGCCGGACCCTAAGCCTTTTACATAGTAAAAATAGCGGTTCCCCACACTAGCTAATCGTGATTTATTTTTTCTTCCTCCTCACATTCCGGTTCAGTATCATCTCTCCATTCTGTTTCGATACCCATAACTTTAATGCGTCCAATGTCTCTTCTTTCGGGTTTTTAGTCAATTTTTTATGGAAATTCCTAATGGTGGCAGCACTAATCGCTACACCCCTCTTATGATTGATAACAAGAGTTCGGATTTCTTCAGCTACCTTGGGGTACAGCCTTGCCATGGACCGCTTTTCGACACGATTTTTCTCGTCGAATAATGCATCAACAGTTCGAAAATAGTGCTAGTATAGGTTTGAGCCGTTTTGGATGTACCAGATCCGGCATTACTACTTCTTGCGACCCATCTCGGACTTTGCAAATGTCATAACCAAGATTTTTACGGTTTCAGATAAATCAGAGATATTTTTTGTTGTTTTTTGAATGAGGCCGTCATTTTTGCGTCTAATCGCTTTTCAGTGTCCAGAATTATATCTGGTTACGGTGTATAGAAATATAGCATGAAGCCGGCAAGCAGTAAGTAATCGAGAACATTCTGATAGGTTATGATTCGATTTTATTTGGTAGTAAGATTGAGATTTTGCGGTTATGGATTATAGCTTGCTTGAAATTACTTGGGTTTCGCGTTGTAAAAAGTCACGATATGGATTATTCTGTATCTTAGGCCCAGTTCACTGAGAAAACGCACGTTTTTATATTTGTAGCTCGTGAAACTGTGTCTCAGACACTAGCTCTTCTATATCTCACAGTAAAAGTGATCAATATATCTTAATTTTACAAAACAAAGATGAATTAGCTTAGTTTCTTGCGCATCATATGAGCATGTCTGTTTTTAACACGAATTATATCTGGTTTATTCTATATGATCATGGCATTGGTTCTTTAGATTTTGTTCTAAATAACTAGATTGAAAATAACTTTTCCTGTTGCCCCCATCAAAGTTTAGCAAGTGGCACCAACAACGTTAATAATTTAATATTCGTGCGTACTGTAACACAGGCGCTCATGTATTAGACGCGATCCAAAGTATCGATTCAGTTTATTTGAGCCACAAACTGTGTAGAGAATTCCTATAATCGTATTTGAAAGTGCTAGCATTAGTGAGTTTACAATTACCATATGCAGTACTTACAACATATACTTACAACATTTATCGCAAAAATAACGAAATTACTTTTATTAGTTTAGACCACGAACGGATGATTTATGTTTATTTGATTAAAAAGGTAATTAGCCGCTTTTGAAAATCAATTCCTCTGAATATGAAGTTACAGACATTGAATGTATTAGTATAGGATAACGCAAACAAAGAAAGTGTTAACCACTAGATACAAAATTGTGGATAGCTCAAGATAATGTAATGATATTATTTATATTAATATAGGGATTGTGAAATTCCAGAAGATTAAAAACCCAACTAAATCGTTCTACATATGGTAATGAATATATTAATATCTATTTTTTATGATAAATATGACAATTATAATTAAATAAAAATTTTTAATAAAATCTACACATTTAACATGCATACTAATACATAACCCACCTACACTTCCAGATACTATCACTGAAATCATATCAAAACTTCCATTAGCGTTAGTATTATAGAATGTTCACTTTGTCTGGTTTTGCCCCAATTGAAAACATTTCATTCATTGTATAGTTCTGGATGCCAAACCTTCCGCGCGTATTGAATCAATGTATGTATCATGTAATTTTAACAATTTGTAATAGTAATTGACTTTTTTTTCATTCTTCATTTTTGTCTGCACATTCAACGCGTAACAAACCCGCCGCTCCTCCTGATGCAATCCATGTTCCCGTTGTGATATTAGGGTTCCATTGCAGCTATAATAATAGGCATTTCAAATCGGCAGTTTTAGCTAATACTAATAAACTCTTTGCCTAACCGGTCATAATTCAGCATACCTTTTGAATGGAAATTTCCGGTGGAAACAAATAATTATACAGAGATTCATTGCGTCCAAGTTTGGTCTCGTTCTAATTATAGAATGGTGTCAATGTTGATATTAAAGACGCTTTTGACAGTACGACTAACTTACCCGTGGAATAATATTATCCCATATGGTAAAGGATCTGCTTTCACTGTTGTAAGATAAACGATATAAAATGACTTCTTTCGGTTTCTGCATTCATACATTAGATGTTAAGTACTTGACTGACATTACACGGGATTTTTGACAACAGAAACTGAAAGCATTCAATTTAGATTGTTGAGAAAAATCAACAAGAAGTCATTGGATAAAGTTTGAGCTTTCCCAACGATAATGAACTTTTCTAATGTCAATTTCTCTAAAAAACTGCCAACTGGTTTTCTGCAGCACGTTTTCAAATTCAATGTAGTACACTTGATCGAGAATTTCGAGAGAAACACGTAAATACAAATTAAAATAACCTTCCAATTGCTCTTCAGCGGAAATATATTGGTCATTGTAACAAGACCGTCGGTTCCACAACTGGCGACAAACGGATGAAACAGCGACACGCCGATAGACTATATTTACAGAGATTATTATTTCAGCATCTAAAGTTATACGATCAAACTGACCCCTGCATGCAATCTCCAACTTTTCACCACAACTCACCCAAATACACTGTCGGTGTTGCAAAACTCTCATAGTCTTGGCGAAATCGTCCGTCCTCACAAACCTGACCCCATACTCTTGATCAGGAAACATCAATCCGTCATAACGATTAGACCAAGCAACACTCATCATAACAGTCCGTAAATGCCGAAGGTCGTATTTCATGCATGGGTCGCGTTCATCGAATATCTGCACTTTCCCGTCGTGCCCACAAGATAGAATATGCGTAGGGTTGAAGTGTGAGTTCCATAAAACTTGGCGAACGCTAGAATCGTGTGACCAGACGTAGCGAGTTGGACAGAGTAAATTTGAATTCGAGATGGATTGCTGTTGATTTCGCTTTGAAAATATGTCGTACATATTCCATGTCGCAATATAGCCATTTGTACAGCCAACGGCGACCTTCTCATGACCACCCCATTCAAGCGTCCAACATAATATGCCCGGAAGGGATAGTTTAATTACTTCCTGCTTAAACTTGATGTACAAAGTTTCTGCATCATTCTTTCCCAGTCGGCGTCGAATATCATCCGGTGAAGGAATTACAAAAAATCTCACTGTTCCATCTCCAAAACATCCAGCAAGTATTCCCAACCTTTTGATGTGCGTCTTGGTATTATCACCGTCATTCTCTTCAATATCATTATCTACCAACTCACACGCACCATAAGGACACCACTTCAAGTCATAAACACAGCCATAATCGTGACAAATAACCATATCCAAATACGGTAAATCTCTCTCTTCCCCATTAATTTCTTTCTCGTCTCTGCAGTCAATTCTCCAAATTTGAATAACGTTCTGCATATTCGTCGTCTGTTTAATCCCAATCTCTCGATGCTCGTCAGTCGTTGACTTGTATCCACCGACAGCAAGGTATTGTGGCGATCTGGTAGGTAGCGAAGGACACCATTGTAAGCCCCATATAGAGAAGCCGACGTTTATAATCATACCAGTGTGATTTGAAATGTAAGAAGATAGCCTTAATGACGAAAATTGAGGTAGATCAGCAGAGCTGCAATTAGATGGAACTATGTTTATCGTAACCGGATCTTTCGTTTCTGGGAGGTATACTTGTCGCGTTTCATCGCTTAAAAACTCGATGTCATCTATTGTCAGTTTCAAATCCTCATATACGTTCTTTGGAACATCCAATCCATCTCCTATCACTGTAAGATAGCTTTTCATTGGACCATTGACCACTCCCCACCATACATTCGTATCTTCGGTTTTGTGTTCAGCAGCTTTACTTTTTTCAGTCTTTGTTTGGGTAGTTCCAGTCTTTGTTCGGGTACTACGACGTCTGGTATTCATTTGCGTAGATCCAAAACCCTCGCTTTTTCCGCACAAGCCGTGTGACAATGCTATTTAGGGATCTACCTGATCACGATAGCGGATAGGCAATTTCATCTAAATCGGGATGTCAGCTTACCCACTTTTATTATTTATATCCCAGGCGTTAAATTAAATCATGCCTGTATGAAGGAAAAAAACGTAAAATATACCGAGGTGTAGAACAAAATAAACAGTTATCAAACGGGTCTTTTGATGTCATCAAAACTCAAGAGTCTGCGTTTCGAATTATACTGCAGTATTATTGGCGGTAAGGTTTGAGTTGATATTTCATCGATTTACAGAAAGTAAAGAAGTTCCCTCGATTGGCTTTAAAGGCGGTCAGATGCCACAGTAATGATCTCGTTTTTAATCTTGGCGAAGATTAGGGTTAGGGTTATGGTATTAACATTGCCTCACGAAAATTGTCAATAACTAATTGGTCAGAAGATTTAGAAGATGACGAAGAAATATATCTCCTGAATATACACTACCTAGACATAAGTTTGCGCGGTCAGTTTTTCTATTAAAATTGACGTAACAAAAACAATCGATTTTGGTATCAATTGAAAGCTCTGTTTTCTCGTGTACGCGTCTTTGTTGTTGTTTACGCCATACAAGATAAAAACAATTCAAATTATAAATAAAAGTAACAGTACTAATAATTGTAGAGGTGCCTTCACTAAACTGTTGGGTGCGGGCATGTGAAGATACGCGTGACTTGAAGTGCCCAAAAATAATTGTAATTATTGTGACAGATTAAAACGAAATCGGATTAAAACGAAATTTTTTCTATTTTAGTATGAAAATTATAAAATTTTTTGGGTGATAATTTTTAGCCTTTTTAGCAAAGTTGAGGATGATCCGCGTTTTCATGCGTTTTTGGAATTTGGGTTAGGATTTAGGATACCATTTGTTAGTAAAAGAGTATATGTGGGTTTCAAGGCATTAAAAGGAAACC